GGCGGCGGCGGCGGCGGCGGCGGCAGCGAAACCAGACTGGCCGGCCCGGCGCAGCCTGCACGGCCGGGACATAAACGCAGGACCTCGCGGTCTACCGGCCGCCGCCGCCGCCGCCCAGGCCCGGTCGGGTCGTCCGGCGGTCACGCGGCGGGCCGGGCCCAGTGGAGTGCGGGAGGAGACAATTCGCTCCGGCGCGACGTGCCGCGACGTGACAACCACGCACGGCGAGAGCGCGGCGACGCGGCCAGCAGGCGACGGGGGCTGCGGAGATGTGGTAGTGGGGGTTGAGGTGCTGAAGCAGTCTCCGAGCAAATGGTGATCGAGTACGAAATGACAGGCGTTAGAAATTTATAGAGGTTGAAAGGACTGAATGGGGATTTGTAATGGTCGACCGGTGTACGCTGGTGGTGAATGGGTTATAGAACACGACCGGAGAGCGACGGTTCGAGAAAGAGAGAACGTAGACGTACATACGATTGATGGTGGCGTAGCCAGAGAAGACACGCCTCTGCTACATTCGGTTGGTGAATACGAATATGAAGCAGAACATTTCCGACTCATACAGTACGACGTAATTAGTTGAATGAAGAGATTAGATTCAGCATGGTCGAGCTTTTACTGTGACCGCTTTTAATTGGACACTGAAAATAAAGGTGAAAATAGAAGAAATTATATCTAGAACATTGCAACACTTCAATCAAGAGGACAAAACGGACTCATTTTTTTAAATTCTACTAAACTTATTTTCCACAAAAAGAGCAATACTGTTTATGCAGTCTAACTCAAGATGGGAATTCTGACATTTTGGCCTAACGAAGCATACGAGTATACTACATTTATTTGTATGTGCCAATTTCCATATGTGAGTGGCAAATAGAAATTCGGAAAAGTGTCTTCCACTTTTCGACATTTTTCCAGTTTCATAAGCAACTTCGGGTGTGTAGCATACACCTGAATTGCCTGCTTATTTCACTGAGGTCTGCGATGAAACGTGTCTCTGAAAACCATAAATTTTACTCCGCACATCGGCGCCGAGTGTAGGAGGTTGTGCCAATCTCATGAATGATAACGATGGCACTAGGAAGGTACGTACAGTGCGATTTCTATATATAGCTGTTTCCCAAGGCCCGTCTTCACGATGGAATACGTCACGGCCTTTCGCGTCTTTCTCGGTTGGGCCGCTAGATGTCGCGTGATCGCGTCCCTATCAAGCAGTGCTTGCGATCATGCGACACCTACCGACACGACCGAGAAAGATACGAAATTCTGTGGCTAATTTCGTCATGAAGACAGGCCTTGGGAAGCTGCTGTATAAGAATCGCATTATAATAATGCACCTCTCATCCTTGTATGTATCTCCCCCAGCGGGGCACACACTCAGCTCACGACTAATTTTCCGTAATGTGTGGTATAGTAGTGCATGTAAGGGGTGAGGATAGAAGAAGAAATGAGAATGAGAAGAAGAAGAAGAAGAAAAAGAAGAAGAAGAAGAAGAAAAAGTAGGGAAGATAGCGCCAGGTCCGTAGCCCTTTTGTTAATTTCCTTGGGAATCTCCAGTGTTCCTCTGGTTGGTTGTAAGTAATTCTGGCCGCGTCAACTACTGAGGTCATTAGTCCCGTAAGAGTAGTGCTTGTTTAGGGGGGAGGTGGTGGTGATGTTCCCCCGCTGAATAGCGAGATCCGACACGGACCTACCGTCGGCCAGCGGGTTTTCCCCCACCCAGGCATCTCCCACCAGCGGGGCTCCGCGAAGCCGGGACAAGTTCGAAGCTCCCGACATGGGTGATAGTGTAGTGCATGCCAGAGCAAGTGTGTGTAAGGGGTGAGGATACGACAGGGGTGCGGAAGGAAATATCGTGCGCGGTCCGTGGCTTATTTGTTACTGTATTGCTCCGGTATTCTCCCGGTGTTGAGCGGAGAAATGGACAACTACCGATCTCAGCCGCCGTCCGCTAGAATTCTTCCCCAGGCAGTGAATGTGAATTAGCCATTCAGATGGAGGGCGGAATAGGGAACCACGGGGCGCAGCAGGAGCTGGGTCCGTCGCCCTCATGAATCTCCCGAGGCATAGTTCGGCGCCGGCCCAGGCGCCGGCGCTGTGTCGCGGTGTCGCCGGCCGACACCGGACACCCGGGGCGCCACGCCGCCCGCCTGCCCGCCGCGGTGTTGCCGCCTCCGCCCTCGCGCCCGCTCCCGCACTCCACGGACAGGTAAGAGGAAGAGGCCATCTTCATCGGCTTTCCCGGAAGCAACAGGCGAACAGGCAGTTTTCCGGGAGACACAAATTTTCCACACCAGCTAAGCAACAACTTCCAAGTGGAACACTGCATCAATTCCATGCAAATGCCAAAATCTTAAATAGCTTCTCGTTCTTTGACATTATTGAGCACTTTACTTCGCGTTTTATGATACACATCTTTTCGAAACTGAAGAAACGCAGATGTCATTTGGTTTCTACCAGACTTGAAAATTTTCAACAACAATTATAGTAATAAATATAATTGATTGAAAGAAAATAGAAAATCATTAAAAATAATGTGAATAAAATTAATGTTATAACATTAATAATTACTAAAAAAATAATTTTAAAATCGGATGAATCTATGGTATTCTAGATTCTCAAAATATCTCCTATTTTGAGCCGCCTAATCGTAAGAATGGAAAATGTTTACTGCCCCCACATGAAATATTTGTTTTTTCTTGGGTAGAAAAAATAAAAATATGTCAGAATGGAACATGAAGCCCTTTTTCACTAAACAATTTCCTTTGCACGTGTGTTCCAATCGTGTAAATTGCGTACTTTAGAGAGAAAGAAAAAAGTAATTTTGCCCGCTTTCTCGCCGCCTAAGCAGCGTGCGCGGGGACGAGGCGGGAGGGAGCAGGCGCAGCGGCCGGGGACGGGGAGCGAGCGTTAGGCCGCCCGCCGCCTAACGTTTCTATTTGCCGAGCCCGCCCTCGCCGCGCGCATGCGAGGACATAAAGCGGGCAGGGCGCAACCCGAGACTCGCGCGGCGCTACACGACTCGGGCCGCGCTGCGACGCCACTGCCGGATCCACAAGACATCCAGTCTTCTTTTACCTCCGTTTATTTGGCACCATCGATTTACATATTTATTCATGGTCGAATTATTTAAACAATAGTATCATGTCTACTCTACATAAATAATACACAGTATAATAACAAATATGTTTATTATTTAACAAAAATCTGCAATCTGATTGTTAGTGATTCCGGGCGATCAAACTGCTAAGGTCATTAGTCTCGAAATTTTAGTGCTTGTTTTTTTTACCTCTGGAGGCGGCGGTGGTTTCCCCATGTTGCATGGCGAGATCCGGCGCCGACCTAGCGTCAGATGTCAGTTTTCCCCAAGGTATCTCTACCAACAGGCTTTGTCAAAGCCGGGACAAGCTCTAAGCTCTCGACCGTTCTCTCGACACGTATGGCAGTGTAGTGCAAGTTAGTGTGTGTGTAAGTAGGAGGTGAGGAAAGGACAAGGAATGCGAAGAAAAGATTGCGTGCGGTCCATTTGTTAGGGTACGGTTCCGATAATGGCCTGGCATTGATCGGAGAAACCACGCAAAACTACTGATCAGAGCAGCCAGTCGATAATTTCTCCTCCAGACAGCGACTAAATTCGATCTAGAAGACATGGTAGTGTCGAAAATCCTGTCGGTCAGAGAGGCACTGGAGTGAGATCAGTTGATGCCCTGAGCCACCTCTCCCGGCTCCAATTCGGAGTTTGCAGACCCCGAGAGCTCAGTGGTGAGTACGCCGGAGTTGTGAGATCTGACGCACAAATTCAAACCCTGACGTGCGAAAATGCCCGCCTTGCCGCGTCGCCTTTATGGCTAGTAACCTTTCCAGTGGCCACAGCGTTGTACCGAGTACAATACACTGCGATTATTGCTTTTGGATACCTTTTCGAGAAGATAACATAGTTCGTGGGGTCCTTCTATTCTTGAATTATCTCTTTTACTACCCGTTATTGGAATTCTGAAGTCAGGCCGCTTTGTTGTTGTTGATAAAGAACATTTTTGGCAGATGTACTCCGCACAACACTCACATATCAACGTGCGACTGTTTGCAAAAACTGATACCGTTGATTCAGATTAGTAGAAAAATGTATGCACTCTTTTAAAATACAAAAAGAAAAGTAATAATATTTATTGTAAGTACTGAAACCTGTAAATACTGGGTACGTAATCTTTGAATATTGTCATGCAATGTGATATGCTAAAAGAACAATTATGTTTTTTAGTTATACATTATTCTTTTTTTACTTTATTTTACGCAAATATATTTTAAAACGCGAAGTACAACGCACCGCAGGTGGTGTAACACATTGGACCGCGACTGGAGGAAGGTTGAAAAACTTTAAATCACTTGCGTAATCTCTGGGATATTACCCTCGCCAATATTAGTGCCACATCAGAGACTGAGCTAGAACTGCTAACTACGAGTTCGGAACGCAATGCAGACCGCACTTGTGGAACGACGACCTCAAACATCGAACAATAGAGACGTGAAATCAGCCTCCCGCATTCCCGTCCCTCGGGCAACGATGATATCGGCTAATGATTTCACCACCGGAAGTCGCGACCCGATTCGAAATTCTTAAAATGTGGGAATGCATCAGAAACGAAACATACATGGCAATAGCATTCCTGTTTTACATGTGTTCATCTTTCGGTGTCAACGGATGTCCCCGGTTGAGACTTGTTTCTCCACGTGTAGCCACCTTTATACCCACCAGTGTTCGTTTTCAGCGCGACGAGGTGGCTGGTAAGCCCTTATTGCATATTGGACAAGCGTAGCTCGCGGGTCAATTGCTCTTAGTCCTGTAGGAGGAAGAGAACCAGGCCCCACCTGGACGGCACCGCCAATGCGACCCGCAGTCCCGTACGTCCTGCGCCTGGATGCCCACTCCATGTACACATGCTCATATACTATGTACCAGGGAAGGGAAAGACATACAGAGGAGTAATTTTAGCTTCAAGTGTGATGATTGGTGTGCTGCACAATGGGAAAAAAAGCAATCAATCCGCGAAAAGGCGACATAAATGTCATGCCGAGGTAACAATAGCTGTGAGCCAAGATTGCGAGTAGATTCCTGAGTGAAATATGGATGTGATTATGCCGGGGAATGCAAAGGAAATTATTAAGTATCCCAGATGCCCGAGTTTGATCCAATGTCAATCATTCTCGAGCTTACGGTGGACAAAGGAAGCTCTCGGCAGGCTTTCGCAGGTCACTCTGCTTTCCCTACCTCTCATTCCACCACTTCCTGCCAAGGAAATAAAAT